ATTTATTAACGTTAATAAGTTCAGGTAGAATATAATCGTTTGATCGTTATTATATCAATATCACTGAATAAATAAACGTTTATAAAGTATCAATATCTTTAAATAAAAATAAATTTTATGTTATTAAATATGTAAAAGCGTTATTGAATAAATAAGCTTACACTTAATATGAAATAAGATTTATAAATCGCTTTATTTTGAAACTCATTCATTCGAAATAGGTATCTGATTTTAATTTTGAAACCGCTAGTGATTTATAACATAATAAACCGGTAAGCCGGAATCTATATATTATCGGATTTAAATTGCGTAACTCGGTTTATAATCCGGTATATAAACAGTAAATGGTTGGTGACCCGGAGGTTAAATTTTATGACGAGTACAATCTCTAAATGGCACCAGCCGGAGTTGAACCTGCAACATTTCATTACGGACCCACGTTCTAACTGTTAATACATATCAGAATGATTACTTGAATTTCAAAAACATCTAGAACAAAGAAATCGCCCGAAGAAAAACACACCCATAGTAACCGAAGAGTCTGTATTACTAAAAAAATAATACCTACCTCGTATAGTTAGTTATCTATTCGCGAAACCGTCAAGAATCTAACCAGTCTAAAAGCTTTTTCCATATTTTAAAATGTTGTATAAAAGATATACGTTAAAGGTTTTTCGTAAACACTAGCCAAGCTCATTACGGTAGATATAATAGGGATATGAAAGCTAAGTAAGATCATTACCAATATATATTGTATGATCGGGTAAATGATCATCCGCTCACCTGACATTTAAGACAAAGAAATGGGTCACAGTCACGATTTACTTATGCGATACAAAAAAGGAAATTTTAGTTAGGGTTAGACGCGTTAGGGTGAGAACGCCAAATCAAACCGACGTAAATTAGCCAATCACGCGTTTTTTAAATAAATTACGCGTCAATTGATACTTAATATCAAGAAGTTAACCATGTAGCTTAAATGATTTTACATCAGTTCAATACCATTTATGGGTTAATAATTCGCTCTGAATCAACTCAATATTTGGAAAAGGAGCTTGGTGATATCGTTCGATGAAATAATTTGCAAAAGAATAATATATCTAATATAATTGAAGAAATAGCAAATGCATATGTCAAGCAAAATGGTATTTCAACAAAAAAAATTTATAATTAAATAAATTTTAATTAAATTGGTGAATAAATAATTTAAAGAGCAAGTTGATTTCGTTGAACTCGAAAAATTACAAGAAATTTTTAAGTTTCTACAAATTTCTCGGAAAATCACGTAATATTTAAAGACATGATAAACCAAAGGTGATTGGTGTTTTTAATTCTAAAAACACCGGAAGATTTGATCTGATAAATCAACGATTGAAACGAAAGTCAGGATATTTAATACGTTTCACAGGTTTTGATAAATTTGAAAATAAGGTGAAATTAGACTTAATTTCTTGTAATTATGCCGTACAATCTATTAATATAAAAGTTATAACGTCAAATCCAGCTTTCTTCTTTAAAAGATTTGCGTGGACGAGAAGGCGATGAGTTTACTATATTTGGTTTACTTACTTGCTCCGAAGGAAAATATCAACTCGAAGATAGGGATTGGCAAATTTGATTAGATTTATCAGAATGCGTAAGGAATTTAAAATTTCGTTTTTATATAAAAATGGTTTATTTGCTTAATACAATATTATATCAAAAGGAAATGTGTGAATTTTACACTGAAGGTAATTTCACCCTTGCTAAAGGGCGATATATTGAGGTTCAAAAATTCAAAGTTACAAGTATACAACATCCACCATTAGAAGATCCTGACGATACAAGGTATTATAATTAACTTGTCCACTTATAAGGCTATTATTATAACTATTTCCATTTTATTTTGTGTAATAGGAAAGAATTAGGTCACTTTGATTTTTTAGAAATATCATATTCATTAGATGATGAGGTTTTACTTTTTTGTTCATGCAATCTTATAAAATTTCTTTCTTAATGTATTTAATTGTATAATTTCTCTTTATAATTATCAAAAAATATGAAAAGGAATGGAACAATATGTTCCTAGTTATAATATCAGACGTGTGGTTAGATCAATCAAAGGTTCTCCTTATTTATTTTTTTTTCTTAAAGTGATATTTCACAATTTTAATAAAAATTAATATATTTAGACGCTGGCCAAATTATGATTAATGTTTAAAGTTTATCAAGATAAAAAATTGATCCCATTTGTTTTCGTATTAATTGGGAATTTTTTATCTGAACCATTTGTAAACACAGAAGTTCATTCCGCTAAATATCAAGGTTTAATTTAATTTATATTTATTTCAATTTATTGTTCATTGCCGCTAATAAATACTGTATATTCGCTCTTAAAGCGGCTTTTGACAACCTGGGAAGCCTTATTGTAGAATTTCCTAGCATAGCAAGATATTCTCATTTTGTATTCGTACCTGGATGCTCTGATTTTTGAAGATTTCCATAACGTCACGTACCCAATATGTATACTTCCCGACTAAAGAACAAAGCACCTAAGGCTGTGTTCACCAGCAATCCTTGCAGGTAACTTTAAAAATAAAAGAGGTTTTATATTGATGCTAAACTCAAATTAAATCTGTTTTTACTTGATCAAGAATAAAATATTGTAGTCAAAAAATTGTGATTTCCGCAAAAGATATAATTTATAAAATTAAGCGGAATAATATTATACCACCAAAATTTCTGGATACACAAGAGAGCCTAGAAATACAGGTAGGTTTATTTAATGCCTTTTGAATTGATTCTTTTTAAATTAACTAGGGTTTGGACAGTTTTATTTTTCATATGTTAAAATCAGTTCTAAATTCTAAAATTAACTTCTTTTTTTTTCGATCAACAAAATTGTAGGTTACAAAAACTTTACTGCAACAATCACATTTATGTCCGTTTACGTTGTCGATGACCTCTATTTATGGTGATTATGATCACACTTTAAGATTGTATCCAATTCCTGATGTTGTAAGTAGTCGCTATTTTCTTTTCTAGTCTTGATCATCTAGTTAACGGCTAAAAATCACATTGTTATTCGAAAACGCTAGTTGATATTGGCTGATATATATAAAGATTATTCGATCGATATTCCTACATCAGGATCCACTTACAATCTTGAGAATTCCGAAATCAAAAATTGTTATTGTTTTAATCAAAGTGGATTTTCATCAAACGAATATAAGTGGATAGTTTATTGGCCCTGGTCAAGAAAATCTGAACTTTGGTAAATGAATTGTTTTATAAATTTAAAAAAATCATTCTAATTTTATTTCCAGTGAATTGCCTTTGTAAGCAGTGTTCGAGTTTTTCTTTTAGTAAATTAATAACAAGTATGCATTTCGAGTTTCGTTTTTGACATATCAAATAAAATTTTGAAATCCGCGCGTATGAACCAGTGGCCAATCATAATAAAGTGAGGAAATTAAATAGATAACGACATTAGAACATCAACTAACAAAAGGCAGTGACGTATTGACGTCACTACCTGAATTTTATATGACGTAAGGGTGACGTAAAGAGGTAGCTACCTTGGACATTCTAAATATAGTTATTACTAAAAAAATTTTAGTATTATGATACGTAATAATAATAATAATAATAATACGTAAGCAATAATCATTACTATATATTATTATTAATAACAAATAGAGTTTACCGTTACTAAAGTTATTATGATAATTAGAAATTTTTTTAAAGATAATGAATAAACAAGAACATTTACGAACAATAAAGTATTCCATTTTATAGTTGTCTCAAAACAGGAACTAATTTTTAGTTTTTTTTTTTATTCTTCACAATTGTGTCATAATATAGTACTCTTAATATACAAATTATTTATAACACCTTTTTTTATTGCTATTTCTGTCACGATTATCCCTATTGTCACGATTATCCCTATTATCTCTATTATCCCTATTATTTCTATCCCTACTATCCCTACTATCCCTACTATCCCTACTATCTCTACTATCTCTACTATCCCTACTATCTCTACTATCCCTATTATCCTTATCTTTGTAGTCGTCCCTATCTCTCTGGTAATCTTTTCTTTTATTCCCGTTTTCATTCATGTTCTCCGTCCTTTTCTTTCTTGCCATCTCATCTAAAATAATTTCTTCCATAGCCGTTAATTTTTTTGGCTTTTCTTTTTCTTTCTCTTTTGCTTTTTTCTGTACATTCAATGAACCGGATTTTTTTGCTAAAGCACTAAGTGACATTTTTGTGGAAGTAGGTTTATTAAATGAGATGCTAGTGTGAGTGGAACCATTAGTAGAAGGCGCTGTGATGGTAGATGAATCGGGTTTAACGGTAGAAGAAGAAATAGAAGGTTCGGATTTTGCTAAAGAAATATTGAGCTTTATCTTATCTTCTTCATTTTCTCGTTTGAGATCGGTGAATTTCTCCTGAAAAAAAAAAAAAAAAAAAAAAAAAAAAATTAAAATTAATACATCTGAATAAATAACATAATAATTTAATATGATGTATGAATATGAAAAACATATAATTACTTCATCTTGTCCCAAATCATCAGCTTCCTTTTGAGCTCTTTCTATTTGCTCCTCTATTAATCTGCGAGCCCTTTCTTCCTCATCTTTTTCTGATCGTTCTTTTTTCATAATTGCTTCCTAATTATCAAGTGTAAAAGGAATCTGTTATTATTTATTCGAAACAGCATAAACAATATTACATAGTCATTGGTATGCATTAATTAATCACCTGTCTAGCCAAAGCCTTGGGACTGTTGTCAATCCAGCTAATAAACCACCCTTTTGATGTTTCATCAGCGACGCAAGTACCTTCCTTACCCAAATATTTTACAAAATCTGTCAAAGTATCCCAAATTGTACCATTCATGTGTATATGATGTCTATCAGCGATATATTCTTGATATACAAGATTTGCATGAACTCTTTTAGTTCCCCATCTTAAATTTAAAAGGAAAATAATAGGTGATAAGTAAAATTAAACGTCTAAATAAAACAAAATAATATCTTAGTAAAGTCACCTTCTAGAGAGTAATTTGATGAAATCATCATGAAATTGTTTAGAATAACCTTGCATATACATTGAAGGACTCTCCTTCAGAAGATCCATTTGACGAAGATGAGATTCAGAACGGATGTGGCACTGTAAACAGGCAAGCAAAAATACGGTTAAAAAACACAAATTAAACTATTAAAAAAAAACCAAATAGACAACATTTTATAGTATGAAACAAACCTGATAACCATTTTCGTCACGACATTGCTTTTGACACATTTGGCAGTACCATTTCAATTTTTGGAGACCTTTTGCCTTTAAATAAAAGTAGAAAAAATTTAGTTCACATTTATCAGTTTAATAATTAAAATAAGAATCATATTGGCATACTTTTATACGATTGGCGATGGCTTTCGGTGTTAAGAATTCGTGTTTCGGCATGATTCCAGTAATTAAGTTTACAAGCGAAATACTACGCTACTTATTATTGTTCGGACCCCAACAAAATAATATATAAATGTGTAATCACCTGACTCGCTTTATTCCAAATTTGTAAAGATAGCAAAAGCGGGGTTAACAAAAACGTTACCTTTTTGATGCATTTATAAAAACGATTATATGGGGGTGAGTCAACAGAAATCAAGCAAATTGTTTTATTGAAATGTTTTTATTAGATTTGATAAAGTTTTTGTTGAATTATTTTTGTTTAAAGTTTCAAAAAATTTTACTTAGAAAAATTTGCTTGATTTCTATCGACTCAATCCCCATATATTTAATATCTGATACGTATCAATATGACCTATATATCCCAATTTGATAGTATCTAGCCAATCAAAAAGTTGGCTGCTTTAGCATCATGTATATAACAGGCCATCGGCCAACAATGATTTAGGAACTCTAAATTTGGGGTCATTATCATAATCAAAAAGCAAAGTGGCTTAGCGAAAGCAGTTTTTATATTTCAAAAAAAAAAAAATGTCTAGTGGTATCTCAAAAGAATCCTTAGAACAAGCCTTACGAGAAAAGCTTGAAGCTGAATATGTTGAAGTCATTGATACTTCTGGTTAGCTTCTTCGTCTAAAAATTCATAATACATATAATTATACTGAAATTTATTTTCTCTTTGTATAAAGGTGGATGTGGTCAAAGTTATGATGTTATAATAGTGTCTAAAATATTCGAGGGTAAAAGTGTTTTACAAAAACATCGATTAGTGAACGAAACATGCAAATCGGAAATTGCACAGCTTCATGCATTTTCACAAGTAAGCTATTTATTTATTTTAACAACAAAAAAAAAAAAAAAACTTTTGGCAGTAATTGCTCTAATCTATTTAAAATTTGAACAGAAAAGTTATACACCAGAACAATGGGCTACACAGAAACAAAAACAACCCTCATAAAAATTAATGTATAATCATTAATAAACTGTAATACTATGCATATTGTAAAAATATATATATAATTCATTTTTTAATATTATTTATGAAACCATTTTCATGGGCCAGTAAACACCTACAAAAATAAATTTCTTATATGAGATTGCGCTGATACAAATCCTTAAAAGCGTTGAATTTTATATAACCTGGGTCTGGATCATCGGCATCTTCAGACTTTTTCCAACGATATAAAGAATTACCAGGAACAGGTGGTAGTTTTTCAGTTGAATACAAAACCGGTGCTGAAGTAATTGCTTCTGTTAAGTCAAGTTTTTCGGGAATAGTCATTTCCGTTGGAATTGATTCTTGAGAACCTTCTTGATCACTAGTCGTTATGCAATTTTGTGCTTATTAAATGCATTATTCTAGAAATGCAACTTCAAAATTGTGAATGTCAAATAAACCTTTTCAAGTGTGAAACTGCTATTAATTTTGCAACATCAGTTTGCGTATATGTAGCTAAACGTGGATAATTTCGTCGTGCATCACGATCAAAATAGTAATTCTTTGCTATATCTGAATGTTTTGTTAGGGGCCGAATATATGTCGTAGGCTGCGATCTAAGTGAAAACAGAAACTTAGTCAATTCTATCAGGTTATATATAAAGATCCAACTGAATATTGTAAATGTTATTTATACCCCGGAGACGGCGTGCGATATATTCCTGTAATTGGAACGCCCGTATTAGACTCTGGATTCTTTTAATAATATTGTATGAATGTCTGTGTCTTTAATATGAAAAAAAAAAACTCCTGCCAATTTTGTATGATAATATTTAATTCGTTGCATTTGTCGATCCATTCGAGTGTTCTTTATAATTTATACACGTTTAATAAGTGTGATACGTTTGTGGAACTTTACCCGCGTATAAGTACATAATCATGTGCTTGAAGCATGACGGAGTTCTATTTATGCTTATATATCAATAAACCTAGAAATGGGCAATGTTTTATGATACGTACACCTAAAAAAAAAAAATCGTCAGTTTGCTTCAAGATTTGTTAGGTAGTTTTCCAGTTGCGATGTGAAGGATTTGTGAAGAAACGTCTCAATGATCTCAATTTTATATAGTCTAACCTCCCAAGTACATGCATTATCTTTTATGTAAACCCTTAAACCTAGCATATGACTCATTTTGAAAATAATTTTTAAAATGTGTACCAATCAAATCTATTATAAAAGTAATATTTTTTTCGAATATTTGTACAACAAACTATGCCAATCGGATTAATCGAATTATTTATTAATCGTATATCGTTTCTTTCTAGAAGACTCGAGAAATCGTCAAATTTAAAAATAGTACACGTTTAAAAACTTGTAATAGCAGATATTTATTACGTATTAAAAACTAGTGATACGGGCCGACCAGGAAATTTCGGCCGGGAATCTTCGGAATGCAGACAATAAGACAACATCGAATATGAATCTTTTTATAAAGTGCGATAAAGGTTGAATCGAATTTGATTAACTTCTAAAGTGCGATAAAGGTTGAATAAATCATTCATAAAAAGGTCGGCCCCTATTATTATTTGGCTAAAAAAATTATAAAAACAATTTTTCCGTGTCCCTGGTAGATGTAGTGATCATGGCCGATCAAAATTGTTCGACCGGCTAAGCCGATAAAATTTTATCGGCTTAGCCGGCTTAGTCGATTTTTTATTAAAATTTCGGAATCCTTT